ATCCGTGGTAGTCAACAGCTCTTTGAGGCGGACAACGACGCACTGTACGCTCGAGTCTGGTTCTAGTCGGGTGGCGAGCTACCCGTGCTCGTCGTCTGCAGGCCCGTGCTTACGGTGACCGGAGATCATCTCGTGATCTCTGACGCCCGGAGTGTCTTTCGCGACGGCTGAGTTGTGAGGAGGCAGTGCTTCGCTACCTCAGGCATCCCGCCTCCTCCTTAGCTAGCATAACTGCTTCGTAGAAGGAAGAGACGGCATCCCATTGCTCCTCGGTCTACATCATGGCCCGGACTAGGGCCGAACGCGAGAGAGTGCCATCGCCAATCACATCCCTGAGGACACGGCGGTGATGGTCAGCCCATGCAGAACATACGGCCACCGTATGCTCCACAGTGTCCTCCCAGCGGTTCTTGCAGTAAACGTTAGTCCTAATACTGAGTGACCTAGAACCTAACGGGTAACCGGGGCTCCGACTCGACGTGCAGGAGAAGGAACGGGGTGGTTTTTAGTCAGTAAGAGTCTGACACTCCCTCCCGCCTCACCCAGGCGGGAGCAGTCATTCGATGATTATACCCCCTTAAAAAAAAATACTGTGTGACCTATTGTCCGTTAGAATCGAGAATAGCGAGAATTCTACGAAGTGTTGGATCAGCTGCAATGTACTGAATACGGCCCCGTATTGCGAAAAGACCTTGTCCGGCCCTGTGAAAGTTCACCGGTATAAGTTCCAGAAGATGAAATCGTACCATTAAATGATCCCATATATATAGGTACCGAGACCCAGCACAGAGTAGGAACTAATTAACTTGTTCATCTTGGAGCCTACAACTTTACACCATATTGACTTAGGTTAGGACTGGCTTAAGTTGTAAAATGATCTTTATTTTGAATTCTCTCCAGTATGAGATTATACTTACCTTCATACGGAGACCAGATGACTGCGTTACATTCTATCGGGCTCCTAACTAGTGCGTTATATAGTTCCATGATGGCTTTCATGTTAGTAAATATTCTCTTATAATGATTAGTGCTGGGAGGGTTTACGAATAATCTCTTTGACGTCCTAACAGAGCGTCTTTATGGAGTGGCTTCTGTGTCTAGACACCTTTGTGAAGAGTGACACAGGATGCAGGTCACTTTATTCTTACCATTTTTAAACATTCGGGTATTGCACGGAGTCTAACCGTGACGTATTGAAAATATGATAATTTCATAAGACTCTTTCCTAAGAGTCTTATGAAATATAAAAGGTAATATCAATAATAATCCTTTATTTACTTACCCACAAACGAATAAGTGGTTTGAGTTCTTATAGTTTCAGGAACCTAAAGCCAGCTCTACATACAACTACACTCGCTACAATTGCCAACAACATGTTGCCTAAAAAATTACAAGAAGCAGGAGTAGGAACGGTGTGGTTTTTAGAAAGTAATAAGAGTCAGTGACACTCCTTCTCGCGTCACCCTGGGCGGGAAACCTCATTGGATGATTTTCGCAACACAGAATATGTCGCGCGTCATTATGTATGTGCCGACTGGCAACATAGCACGGTGCTGTGCAACAGTGCCGTACATGTTGAGTAGCTCTCGAGAGTCACAAACAAGTCAAACGACAAATACACAAATAAATATAATTTTAGGTACTAGGCACAAAGATAAAAACAAATTCTTAATGGTGTATTACTTTATTTATTCATTATATTAAATTTACCTAAATACTTTCAATTATCTCGATCTCCTTGCTTATTTTGGTATGATACCTGCCCATTGTGAAGAAACAAGAAGAAACAGCTGCCTCGACCATAATATAATTAAAACTAAAGTTTACTAGTACACTTTTATCCTACAATCCGCTATTACTGATCATGACCCTATTATATTTTGTATGTATTCAGGAAACCAAAATAATTATTACAACAAAACCAAATAATCGATGAAATTAATTATGAAAATCTGATAAATGACTGTGAGAAAATAGATTTGAATGATGTAATTAGCATCACTCCAAATGAAGCTGTAAACTATTTTGTTGTAAACATACAAAAAATTATAATTAAAAATACTACTAGCAGTAAAATTTCGAGAAATAAAGTAGTTTTAAAGCCGTCGTAAACTCCTGACCTTTAAGATGTATAAGAGCAAGAGATAAAATGCACTATAAACTAAAACAAAATCCTGATAATATTTAAAAAATGACATATATATTAGATACCGCTATTTCTGTAATGATGTAATAAAAAAATGTAAAAGGCAATAATTATGATAGCGACTTACTTAAATCAGCAGCAGCAGCATAATTAAAAAAATTTGGTCTGACATAAAAGATATAACCATCTTTAAAAAACCAATACACATCCATTAGCACTTTTGAATATTAACACTTCACCGCTAGACTTAGCAAATGAGGTTAACAACAATTTTTCCAAAATCGGTATGGAATAAGCCAAAATAGTAGGTATCAATATTTCAAATACCAAATCTATTTGTAAATAATTTGTCCTCCTTGAGACAACTGAAGAAGAAGTAGAAAAACTTATCATAAATTTACGTTCTGAATGTGGTGCAGGCTAGGATAACTATCATTACTATTGTGCTGAAATGTCTAAAAAAATCATTGTACCTCCTCTTACCTTTATCATTAATAGATGTTTGGCAGAAGGAATTTTCCAACATTTCTTCAGAATTTTGTGGTAGGTAATCCCTATCTTCAAAAATGGCAAATAATGTGATGTTTCTAATTATCGACCCATATCTCTACTTCCAACCTTATCAAAAATATTGGAAATAATAATTAATAACTACCTTATTATACGTTTAGAAGACAACATTCTTCCTAAAAACAATTTGGTTTTAGAAAAGGAATCTCAACCGCTGATTGCTTACATTTTTTTTTTTGTAAATTCATTGTATTAAAATTAGATGATGAAAACAATATTTGACCATATTTATTGATCCGCAAAAAGCTTTCGATAGTTAGATAGACTGACTACAGTCTGTCCGCACTTATTGGAAGATAAATTAGAAAAAATGGGTATTAGAAATAACTAACTATGTAGCTCTCTTTCAAAATTACTTATAAGATCGAACTCAAATGGTTCGGATTCAACACTCAATGTACTTCTATTAAGTGTTGACAATGATATATACGAAACTGGTGCCTCAAGGAAGCATGGTAGGTCCCACATCGTTACTTTGTTATATTAACGACTGACTTTCAAACTGATGACACCACCTTAACATGTTACGAAGACGGTAGGGCTTATTTTATATATTTCTTAGATTCTAAGTAGCCAAGAGTGGGAAACGCAATCGAATGCTTTCCTGTAGTCTATGCTATGCATAAGTTTTTCTTTTGTGTGTAAACATATTTTAAAATCGTAGAGTCTATTATAAGCTGTTCTTTACATCTTCTATGATTTTGCCTACATCATTTCTGTTACAGTATGTTGTTTCGGTGAAGATGACTTTACTTCTAGGGAGCATGTACATACATAAGTAACTACTTTTGTAATAAAATTAGGCAATTATCTGTTCACCTCTAATGATTTCTGTGACGTTTTTAGGTATAATGTGATGGAGTGTCTGCCTCTTTGGCCAAGTAGACTGCCTTGGCCGAATGATCACAAGTGCGACTGCCAGGCAAGGGGTCTCGGGTTTGATCCCGGGTCGAGCAAAGTGTTACTGGGTTTTTCAAAAAATTGACTGTAGTATCACGGAGTCTGGAATTGTGCCCAGTATATGGCAATAGGCTCACTCCCTATTACATGGGACTCATAACATAAATAGTGAAAAGTGGGTGTTTGTGCACCTCTGCCCTTCGGGGAGAAAATGCGTGATGTTATGTTGTGTTATGTGATGGAGTGTGAAAAACTTTTTGCACCAAACATCATGAACATACATCACAGCGGCTTTCCAATTCTTCATTCTTGATGTGACTATTGTAACTTCTGGTGCGATATCTGCTTATTTCATCCTATCTATTTCTTGGTCAATCTATTTTGTCGTTTCGTTTTTCCCATAACTTATTAAATTAAATTTCTCTACAAATTACATTTTCAAGTACTACTTTAAAAATTAAAAATAATATTTAAAATTTAAAAATTAAAAAACTGCGTTTAAAAAAACCGACTTCAAAAACGAATGACTAACAAAAAGTAAAAACTTAAAAGAAAAATATAACTATTATTGGTCCTACGTACTTATAGCTTACACACCCACTGATAGGTTTGAAGTCGGTGCCACAAGTTTTAAACAAAATTATTCATTAAAACCTTAATAGATACCTAACATTATTAAGCTGTTTACAATTTTATTACGCTTTATACCAGCTGTGCCCATTAACTATTTTGTTGTGGGTTTGTGGCACCGACTTCTAACCTATTTATACTACACCGTTTCTAGGAGAACTGCCTTCTGTATCAGGCTCTTGATCCATCCACCTAACGCCAAAGACCTGAGATAGATGTCGAGGCTTTTAGGAATTAACCCATTGGCCGACACGCCTATCGGCACAATGATAGCCGAATCCACACTTCACATGTCGACAACTTCGTGAGTTAAGTCTAGATATTCTTTTTTATCTTTCTCAGCTTTCACGAGGTTCTCGTGATGGGGAATGGTGACATCAATTATCATCGTGCGGCGCACTTGTCGGTCTATCACCACTATGTCAGGTTTATTGGCTACAAAAGTGCAGTGATGATAGACCGGTCCCAGTACAATGTGATATGGTCATTTTCCAGAATTGTTATTGTTTTTTCAGAATATAAAGTACCCAGTGTAATGCCCAGGATATTAAAGTATAATTACACTAAATTTCGTCGTAATCGGACTAGTAGTTTTTGCTTGATGTATGAACAAACAGACAGACAGACAAAAACTTTTTAACCAGATTTCTGGCTTCGGTATGCATCTAGTAACTATTTTCTTTATAGTTTCAATGTAGAGAATTTATTTTATTTTAACATTCCAAAATTCATGAAATGAAAAATGAAACCCAAGTGAAGTCATAAAATTGTACAAATTAATTTATTTCTTAAAATATAGAGGTATAGAATGAATGTTTACAATTTTTGGTTTTTCTGTACAAAACATATCACTTTAACTCGTCGAGTACCGGTTTTGTAGACACAATTATAGAACAATAGGTTGCGGTCACCGGTGACCGCTTGGTGTTTGACAGTTTAATAGCATGAGCATATTGTAATGTAATTTAATGTTCAATGACATGTCAAATAAATGCGCCTGCGTTTCATGCGGGGTGCGGGTACCTGTACTTGACAAGTATCAATGTGACTTCTTCCGAGCTACAAGTTCTTTCTAAGATTACCTAAACACTACTGTCTTACGGTGAATGAAAACCTCGTGAGAAAACCTGCATATATAACTTCTAATTATAAGTTTGCAATCGCCAATTCACTTCGAGCATCTGTGGTGATTAATGCTCAATCCTTCTACGTGTGAGAAGAAGCCTTTATAGAACAATGTGCACTTATAGACTGATTATATTAATGTTAATAACGAGTGCAGTATTTTTTAAGATTATACTTTGTCAGCTACAGTAGCATTGCGGGCAGACATATTAGAACTAGGGAGTGGAGGAACAATTGTCAGGGGGACACGGATGCACCAGATTGGCGTACCAAAGATTGCACCACCATCATTAACCCTGAATTCGACTGGTAGACTAGTTCCCTGTAATTAGAAAATTCTTGTAAACGATCTGCACACTGTAAGAGCTAATAAACTTAAAAGCTAGAAAAAATGTTGTTTAACTTAAGAACTTAAAGACTTTTCTGAAATGAATTTTTACAAGTAGCAAGTGTTACTGGTAAACTGTCTCGGGTTCGACTCTCGGAACGTTAAACTATGTAAGTATATAGCTATTGACTGCACCGATTAGTATGCGGTTTTCAAAAAAAAATTTGTTACACCTAGGAGTAGGTTTCAAGATATCAACCGACTTCAAAAATGGAGGTTGATGTCGGTTTTTAAACGCAATTTATTGAAAATTATTTATTTCCCCTTTTGGTCATTAAGTAGGAAACGGTGTGGTTTCTAGCCAGTAAAAGCCTGATACTCTCACTCGATCACCCAAGGCGATAGAAGTCATTAGATGACTTTTCGAATTAAAAAAAAAACGCGTTACAATGGGGTAGACGACTAATTTTTATTTTAATGTCCGTCTGGTAGATTATTTAAAAACATTAGACACGTATTTTTTTATTTTCTTACGGAAACGAATAGTTTCGAAGATATATTGATTTGAAATGTCGCGTGACGTCACTTCTCAGTACATTTTATACTAAGAAATGACGTTTTAGCCCCCACTCCTAAACTTTGATTCGTTTTATCTAAGTATTGTTTTATTATACAACAAAATAAAAAAATACGTGTCTAATATTTTTTTATTACCTAAGTTACGGACTAATTATATTTTTAATTTTCATACCCTGTCATCATCCCCATTGTGGCAAAACTATCTAAAATTAAAGCTCAAACCTTCGTCGTGTGAGAAGAGGCCTTTAGTAAGTAGTGTGTACTCATTTTAAAATTTAACTTACCGCGGGGAATGAGCTCTCGATGAACATATGTAGGGTGTACTGCACTACCTCACCCTCGACAAGAGGACAGTAGCTGTTAGTGAGGTAATTGCATGTCTGTGCGGCCTCTCCAAGAGGGTAAGGGAATGGTACGCCTATTTGTGCTGTCGCAACAGTAGTCATGGTTTGAATGTAGCGCGCTGAAAAGATAAAACGGCATTTCTATACATATGTATATACGCCCCCGTCAGCCACTAGTAAAATAAGTGTAAAGATATATTGAAGTTCAAAATATCGCAGAAGTATTAGTTTACTTTGTAATGATTGCAATGCGTGATATTTCAATAGTTAAAACTGGATAATAAAATAATATATGTTGGCAAACGCACCCACAACACAGGAGAAAACCATAATTTTTCTTAGAAAAATATTCAGCGTGCTCTTCATTTTAAATATCAAAAGAAGGGCTTGTTTAATAGAATAGAGCATTAAAATCGTTTAACGTAAATCATATTTTTATGAAATACTTTTTTAATTTCCATGCTACCTAAAGTAGATATAAAGTAAATAAAATTGTATGACAAGGGCACGGACCAAGAGTCCGTGGAGAATTAATAATATATTTACATTGGAAAAAAGTACAATAATGCGGAGGCGAATTAAAGCTAGAATGCGCCTTAAGCAAGTAGGTGGCGCCAAAAGAAATTATCTCTATGGGCGACATGGATAGTTGGACACGTTTGGGTCGCGAGGTAAGTCGTAGTTGCTGGGGAGGAGTCACTATTCATACTGTTTGTACCGGCAACCGTGGTCGAATACAAAACATTGCATCGAACACTGACAGCCTAGGCACTCGCCCAGTTTGCCTTACGGATAATACGGATGTGACTTGGGGATAAATGTTGCACATCGACTTTTAGAAAGAGACGTCGAGAGCATGTACTTGTACGAAGTTTTCTTTTTCTTTTCAGACCACTCAACGGGTTCCGGTGGCACATAATTATATATGGCTCATTAGGTCTATATAATGGTCATCACCTTCCACTAACGCCCGAATAATTACACATCGGTAATGTGCAGTATTTACCAGTATATCTACAGTATAATTAGATGAAGTACTAACGTGCTCGGAATACGACGTTAATCACCGCATAAGTGCCCTGCGGAAAAATACATGGCGGCTGCATACAGCCCTCAATGTGCGCGTTGATCGGCAATGGTGCATTGACTCCACTACCTATAAAAGTAAAATATTTGCAATAAAGTAAGAAAGAACGGCAGGAAGAAAACAAGGAAGAAAAAAAAAATAAAGCAATACTAAGAGAGTGTCAGATTTGGTAATGTAATGTGACGGCTTGGGTAGGGGGCGCCCTAGGCGAATTAAATCTATAATTAATGGTTTTTTGGTATTATAGACATAATATACCATAAAATCCTCTCTATGAGGTCTTTAATGTGATATCCATATTGCAATATTTGAAGAAAATAACGTTTTTCTCTAAAGTGTAGTTTCTGTCAGTCGCCATGTTGGTTTTTTTCAATGTCACATAGCTAAAAACATTTGTTTCGTTAAGACTTATCTAACAATCCTTACTAATATTATAAATGGGAAAGTGAGTTTGTTTGTTTGTTCCGCTTTCACGCCGTAACTACTAAACCGATTGCTTTGATTTTTTGCAGACGTAAAGTTAGAAGTCTGGATTAAATAATGGGGTACCTTTTATCCCAGAAAAATTTGATATTCTCGAGGGAAAACGAATAGATGGCGCTGTGTGTATTAGTATATGTCACATGGGCTTCTTTTTATCCTTTTGTGACGCGAGCGAAGTCGCGGGTAAAAGCTAGTATATCATATGTGTAAATCAGTTGGGTGGTTTAGAATAAACGAGATAGAGAAGAATATTACACTCGTATAGAAAGATAGAAATACTATTTATTTTGCTACGACACACAATATATATATACTACATATACGTGAAAAACACCTACAGTCGGGTAAAAAATTAATTGCCCCTACAATTGTTAGAAGTTCCCTTTGGTTTCCCTAGGATTCCATCACCCGAATCTGGCCAGATGGAAATGGAGTCACCTCGAGAAAATAATCTTTCCAACAAAAAAATAATCATCAAAATCCGTCCACTAACGCCCGAATAATAGCGTAATACATACATACTTCAAAAACAGATACAGATGAAAAAAGATCACTACGCTTTCTGGGAAGTCGTTTAAAAACTAAAAACAAACATAGGTAAAAATTAAAAAGCAAAAAGTAACTATTATTAATCATAAGTGTGGGGCATGTCATGTGTAAGGGTTTGTGGCACAACTTCTTGCCTATCAGTGCGTAGGTAACTTAAAAGTACGTATGACAAATAATAGTTACTTTTTTTGTTTATAATATTTAACCTACTTCAAAAAATCGAAGGTGGTTCTCAGTTTGACACCTAATTTATACGTAGCCAATCGCGAGCTAATTGCGTTGAACTGCAAGCAACTGCAAGAACTGCAACATGACGACACATCCAAACCCGTGACATTTATTTTAGTTTAAAAAGTACTTCTGTCTAGCTAATCCTAAATAAGCGTACCTAGCTTTTTAGAAAAAGTATTTCCCAGTTAAATATGATGCCCAAATACATTTAAAAATTACCTAACCTTTCGCGCGTTCTTCGTACACACGGGTAAATATTTTAATAAAAAGCGAATTAACTATTTTGTTCAATCAAATAAAGAGCGGGTTGCAAACTTGAAAATATACGTCACAGAAAAAATATCCAATCGGTGCGCGTTTCTCGTACACCCGTGTGTACAATTGCGCGATGGGCACTCAACTCTCTCGTACACCCGTACGAGATGCGAGGGAGATTGGGATGCCGTCTCCTCCTTTTGCGAAGCAGTCATGCTAGCTAAGGAGGAGGCGGGACGCGTGAGGCAGCGAAGCGCTGCCTCCTCGCAACCCAGCCATCGCGAAGGACACACCGGGCGTCGGGGATCGCGGGACGATCTCCGGCCACCGTAAGCGCGGGCCTGCGGACGGCGAGCATGGGTGGCTCCCCGTCCGACCAGAAACACCCGAGCGTACGGCGCGACGCGTTCCGCGCGCGCCTCAAAGAGCCATCAGACCACCACAGATGGGGCCCAATAGGGTCGATGCCGATTCGGAGTCGCGGAGAACCTAACGGGTAACCGGGGCTCCGGCTCGACGTGCAGGAGAAGGAACGGGGTGGTTTTTAGTCAGTAAGAGTCTGACACTCCCTTCCGCCTCACCCAGGCGGGAGCAGTCATTCGATGATTATCCCCCCTTAAAAAAAAAAACACCCGTACGAGATACGGAATGAATGTAGTTTCTTTTTAAACTGGTGGATTGGTAATTGTTTAATATCATCAGGAAATTTGTTATGGTTTAATGATGTCATGCATAAAGAACTTTTAATAATAATTGATAATTGTTTGCGACTGATTAAATTTTAATTTAGATTATGAGAATATAGTCAAGTTTATCTATTTTTGTTTTTATCCGTAAATATTTGAATTAATTGTTTAATTCATTTGAGGAAGCTGTGATTTGTTATTTTTATTAAAACCGTTATTTTTGTTAGTTCATATAATACAATAAACGTTGATTTTGCATGATTGCATTAGTTTTTTCTACAACCTGTTTATTTTAATTTTAACCTGGTATCGTTTTCTCATTAATTCAGTGTCAGTAAAACTCTGCCAACAGATTTCTATAAAAAACAAATCGACATTTGACACATTTTTTGAAATTGATTGAATTGATTTGAAATTGTCAATTTCAGAGGTCGTTTTCAAACACTTGTTTGAGAACCCCTCTATATATTTATAAAGTAAATATTTAAATTATGTAGTAATAATAATAAAATAGTTGAAATAATTTAAAAAATAATTTATGAGTATTATGTCTTTATCACTTAGGCAGATTGATAATGGTTCCATGTGTCGAAATGATATCAGATAACTCGTCTTTTTGTCCAAATGTAGGCACATATTTATATTGGAGTATTCATATTTATATTGTTTAATTTTTGCTTGGATATAAGAATAAATACAATACTGCTCAATGTTTTATTGTCTCCGTTTTCTTTGTATTAAATTCCAGTATTTAAAGAAGCATAGAGAACTATGTACGAATTCAATTTTGACATCATTGCTCTACCAAATCTACAATCTATGTCAACGAAAAATAACTAGAACCGTAAGTTTATACGTTTTCTAGGAAATATCCGAAAACTTCCAAAGTTTCTAAACGAGAGATAAATTGTATTAACATCGACCAATCAAAGAGCCACTGTCAAAATTAACCGATCAGAGAGCAGTGTGTTATTATATTATAGTATTTTTTAAAGAAGCGTAAATCAGGGTTTTTTTAAAGGCGGAAAATCATCGAATGACTGCTCCCGCCTGGGTGAGGCGGGAGGGATTGAGACTCTTACTGACTAAAAACCACCCCGTTCCTTCTCCTGCGCTTCGACGGAACTTCGGAAACCCTTTAGGTTCTCCGCGACGGCGTAAAATAGGGTAGGTGACTAATTTTTATTGCAACGTCCGCCTGGTAGATTAAGTATTTTAAAACATTAGAAAGTGCTGGAACGATTTTAAAAAATGTTGCACCATTTTAATGCTACATTATCACAGATTATTATAAGCTATTTTAATTGCAAGAAAGAAAATAGTAAAAAAAATGTCCAATCGTGCGAAATCGCGACGGCCCGCTAGTGTACTATATGATTAGGCTGGCTGCCAGTGTAGCGGTAAGTCCCCTCTTTTGGAGTGACTTAAGAGACGCTACGGCGTTCTAACCTACCGCCTGACGCCGGTCCTCACCGGACATGGGAGCTTCGGGAGGTGTCTAATAGGGCGACGGCGACCTCTCGCGTCCAGCTCTAGCCCGGGCCATGATGCGGAGCAAGGAGAACTGGGATGCCATCTCCTCCATTTACAAAGCAGTCATGCTAGCTAAGGAGGAGGCGGGGAGCGTGAAGCAGCGAAACGCTACCTCTTCACAACCCAGACGTCGCGAAGGACACTCCGGGCGTCGAGGATCACGGGACGATCACCGGCCACCATAACCTGCGGACGGCGGGTATGGGTAGCTCGGCGCCCAACTAGAAGTAGACCCGAGCGTACGGTGCATCGCATTCTGAGCGCGCCTCAATGAATCATCAAACCACCACTGATGGGGCCCAATAGGGCTGATGCTGATACGAAGCCGTGGATAACTTAACGGGTTGCCGGGGCTCTGATTTGAAGTACAGGAGAAAGAACGGGTGAGTCAGTAAGAGTCTGACACTCCTCGGGAAAAGCCATTCGATGATTTTCCCCGCTTAAAAAACATAAAAAAAGTATACTGTTTATGATTTTGTGTAGTTCATGATTAATCACCGCGTAATGTTTTATAGCCTATACAGCCTTCCTCGAAATATAGAATATTCAATACACAGAAAGAATTACTTCATTCGGACCAGTAGTTCCGGAGATCTCTTCAGCTTTATTTATTAATACATTTAGAACTGATTATTATTATCATGTTTGGCACAGACTTACACGACTGTACATTGGTGGTCTGTCCGTGTGCCAGTGCCAGGAGAGCGCAGACGTAAGCCACAACACGCAACATGTTCACTTGTTCCAACGTGCACAGACTAAATGAGACCATTCCGACGCTCATGCATTTATTAATTCATAATCTGTTTGTTATCAGTTGATAACACACGTGTGGACAAAAACTTTCATATCATTGATAAAATAACGATTACAATATACAGCTGTGTACTGATTCATCATCGAAAATATTTTGTGTACGTAAGTCCATGTTTTTTTAACGTGATCCGTGCTTGAGTTATACTTGAGTAGCTTAAGGTATCTATTCTATTTGAGAATGACGACGAATGTTTGAGGAACTAACAACATTATAACTATGGCAACACTCAATGAAAGTACGTTGAATGTCATCGGCTGCGATCGAGTTTGTTTTGCGAGTCTTTTTTGTTAAACTTCTTCTAAGTTTTAGATTGCTCGCCGTAAGTACGGGTCTACGGACGGCGAGCGCGGGTGATTTGCCGCCCGATCAGGGTGCTTACTCTTGAAACCAATCTCAATGTCAATGCAATTTCAATCCAATAAAATCTCAATAATTATCTAATGTCAAAACTATACCACCCCTATCGTAACTGCTAAAGTAGCATTTAGAGTACGGAATATAAAACCAAACTTAATACCATTTAGTTCATGAAATATCCACGCAATACGGATGCAAACGGCGCTAGTGTTACAACTCAAGAGTACGAAATTTCACAATGTCAATGTCGATCGATCGGAATTGGATTCAAGAGTAAGCACCCAGGAGGCTTATTGTGACAGGACATTGTGTAATTTCGTACTCTTGAGTTGCAATACTAGCGCCCATTGCAACCGTATTGCGTGGATATTGAATGAACTAAGTGGTATTGAATTTGGCTTTATATTTCGTACTCTGAAGCTACTTTAACAGCTACGACAAGGGTTGTATTGTTTTAACAATGAATAATTACTGACATTTTATTAGATTGAAATTGCATTGACATTGAGATTGACTTCAAGAGTAAGCACCCTGTACCATACCCGAGCGTACGGCGCGTCGCTCGCTCGCCTCAAGGAGCCATCAGACCACCACAAATGGGGCCCAATAGGGCTTATGCCGCTACAGAGCCGCAGAGGTATTAACGGGTTCCCGAGGCTCCGGCTCGATGTGCAGGAGTAAGAACGGGGTGGTTTTTAGTCAGTAAGAATCTGACAATCCCTCTTGCCCTCACCCGGGCGGGGGAAGTAAATAGATGATGTTCCCCTCTCAAAAATAATTAAACAGGTCTACTAATGATGAGCACAAAATATATTGGCATAATTTACATTTGACATTGATGATTGATGATCATTTTTGATGTAATTAAATGATTTTTGATAATGTACCTAACTAATAAAATTATTGATGTAACTAAATTTAGCCTAAAGAGTGTAACGATGTGATCTTTATATACGATAATAATCTGTAGGTCCACTGAAGAATATTTATATTACAAGCCCTAGCAGGGTTCATATATTCATATAAAGTTTCATTACACCTATAACTACATGAATATAATAAATGGTTATGATTATAAGGGCTCCTATACATGAGGATTTCCAAACTATAAAAATACGAAGTCTCGGTCACGTCGACGGAATAAGCCTGCCACAACCTCCAAATACCGTTGCAAGTCCTGTAAGCGAGGATATACTATAGATACAACCATGTAAACACGGGTCCACTAAAGTCCGCTGCGTCTCAGGGACATGAATAACTGTCTTGGTTCCCGCGACAAAGTGAATCAGAAGATTTTATAATGATATATGATGGAGAAGAATCAAACGATAATTTCCACTTCCCTCGGTGAATTCAAGCCGGATATAGAAGCCCAAAGGCACAAACACGATGAACAAACCTTCCAACTCGACAATCAATATCGAATCGAGGATTTTCCAATGTTTACAATGAAAACATTTCATTAATGACTCAGCCCACACCTGTGAATTAAATTTTATTTTATCAATGATTTTAAATCTTTGACCTACACAAATGTTTATGAATAGTTGATTGATAACCGCGTTCACATTTGAATAAATACAACAGTTTATGTGGGAATAGTATCATTTAGTCTGTGCACGTTGGAACAAGTGAACATGTTGCGTGTTGTGGCTTACGTCTGCGCTCTCCTGGCACTGGCACACGGACAGACCACCAATGTACAGTCGTGTGAGTATATACACTGTGTGTACTACATAACGTAGAGGTAGTGCCACAACTGTTTTTACTCCTAGGAGGACGACAACAGCCAATCAGTGTGGCGGTCCAGCTACACTGATTGGCTGGTGTCAATACCGGATACCGACGTACCTACACCATGGTGCAGTAGTAACTGTGTAATCACTTTTTACAGGTACTTTCCACAATGGACCTCTGCCGACAAACACGTACATAGAAGGGTGTGTTAATCCGCCATGTGTCTTTCCACAAGGACAAGATGCAGTCATCAACATCAAGTTCCGAGCACGTCAGTACTTTATTTATTAATTAATATTATATCAATGCCTTACTGGTGAAGTCTACCACTGTGCCTGGTGTATGACAAGGCTTACAGGACTACCTCGTGCTGATATACATAAATATATATTTGTTCCAGCTCACGCTGTGCAGAGAATGACAAGTTTTGCGACAGCATTTCTGTTGCAATCCCTTGCAATCCCTTACCCACTCGGAGAGGCCGCACAAACATGCAGTTACCTCGCTAACAGCAGCTGCCCTCTGGACGAAGGCGAGGTGGTGCAGTACTCCCTCAATATGTTCATCGAGTCTACTATCCCTGCGGTGAGTTATTGTTGCTGATATTACCTCTATAATATATTACTGCTTAGTGCTAACCAAGCAGCTGATCAGACCCCACATAACCATTATAATGGATCTAACCAGGAATGATTATCTCATTTATCACCTTCAGCCGATTGACAGCTGACATTCAGCTGGGAGATTGCGACTTCAAAACCTAATTGGGAAAGACTTCAACACGAGAAATTACTTCTATTAATAATATTTTTTAATTATAGGGAGTGAGCCTGCCAATCGAGTTTAGGATCGTGGATGATAACAACAATACCCTGGTGTGTCTCCGTGTACCAATCATAACCGCAGCTCCTTTGTCGTCCGACATGCTTGCTGGGCCGGCTTCTGGAGTCTAGAGCTGATATACAGTTCCAATGGCACCTTAATTTTGACCAATGTATTGTGTTTATATAATGTAATGTACATATGTATCTTAATACAAGTCGAAGTTAAAATGTAAAGTTAGTTTTGTTCTTGTTTTTTTTTAAAAACGTTTGCCCACACTAGGATTTTCTCATGTGTCGTGGGTACGTTAACAAACATACAAGTACATATACCTACATGCCACCCAGGGGCGTGCACAGAGATTTGAAGTAGGGTAGGCAGAAGGTATCACATGATTAAAAAAAATTTGGTCTACATTAATCTCGGAAAATAAAACTCCCGAAACATCATAATTTTGAGTAGGTAATTAGGTTTAGTAAGTATTTTATTAATTTGTATAAACAAATTAGGTACATAATTATTTTCAAACTATCCGTGTATAAAGTTGATCAACATAGATACCTAGGTATCTATTTTACAAATCTATTAACTAGGTACCTACTTTGGAGCGGCGAAGTACAAATGGTTACACATCAAGCTATGCGACACCAGTATAAACTGACCGTTAAATGCATAGAAAAATCGTACAAAGCGAGATCAAGATGACTGGATTTTAAAAACATTAATGAAATTGGTACACAACCAGTGCTAACAAAACAAACTATACCTATAATCGCAAATCGTAGTTTATTAAAAGAAATAATAAAATTATTACCTTTTTTGAGTTACGCCTAGCCCGGACATACGACACACGCAAAATCGCCTTTGGAAATATTTTCGTTTCTTCTTCGAACGACAATAAGGACAACGCACTCATATTTAATTTATTGAACAACACAAATCACCAGCACAGAGCTCACAGCTATAATTTTACATAATTTTCGGTAAATTAACAGTTCATTTAAATTATAATTCATTACATTACAATTTATTCACTTGCACATAAAAACATAACCAAAACAAAATGGCCAAAAAAAACGTAAACAATAAGTTGACCAAAATTAATATATCTATTTTCAATCAACAAACGCTACGTTTTGTTGACTTCTTAAATTAGTCGGATAACGAAGAAGCAGTGCTTTTGCAGTTGTATAGAAATTACCAACCTAACAAAAAAAAAATCCAACATCAGCACGAGAAAACAAGCAAATTGTACCGGCTACGCATTAGTACATGCTTCCGCCACCATCACACAATAGCGAGGTGGCGGCGCCACTGGCGCAATGCTTCAATATATCGAAGAAAGTAGAAAGTGGTTGTAGTACTTCAATATTTTTTCGATAGATGGCGTTAGTGACCAGTTTTTCAAATTCAGTATCAATAAAATTACGAAATCTCTGTATGATGTCAGTAAATATTCATGTCGTGTTTATGAGTGACACTATGTATTTGACTATGTAGGTTTACCATGATTTTGTAGGGTATGCAGTGCTTATTTGCATGTATGGTGTGCACGCCACTGATGCCACCCAAACCCGGAACGACAATCTGTCTATCACACAAAGAGTTGTTCCGTGCGGGAATCGAACCCGCGATATGTTGCGCAGCAGCCGCTTGCCCAACCACCGCGCCAACCGTGCAGTCCAAGTAGTTTTTGTAAAATAAATATACAGCTTTCTATATTATGTGTTTTAACTTTTCAAATAAAACTTCAACATCAATGTCGGTTAAATTGACAGCAAACTTTTACTGGTCATTTAACTAATAAAAAAACCGACTTCAAAAACAAAAATCAAACAAAAAGCAAAAACTAAAAAGCAAAAAATAACTATTATTGGTCATACGTACTTATAGCGTACACACCTACTGATAGGTAAGAAGCCGGTGCCACAAATATTACAAAAAAATATTCATAAAACCTTAATAGATACCTACCATTATTGTTTTTTTGTTTCAATGGATTATACCTGTGACCATTACCTAAGATATATTTTATTAAGGGGTTATGGCACCGACTTCTAACCATCAGTGGGTGTGTAAGCTATAAGTACTTACTTCATCATCAGACCCATATTGGCAATCACATACATACCACCTAGATGTAAAGTCCTCATCAACACAAATTAATCAAACCCAAACACAATGTATCTACTGTTAACCGTTGAGGAGATCCCTCGACTGCCTCTCGGCTCCATCATCAGATCAACTCAAGACCTTTATCAGTCGCCCCTATAAATTTTCAAAGTTCCCCTCGGATTCCCTGGGATTCCATCATCAGATCCTGACTTCATGATAATGGGACCAAATAACAAGCCTACTGTTTCAAAGAAGAAAAAGATTTTTGAAATAGGTCGAGGCGTCTTCGAGTTATCGAGCAACAAACAGAAAAAGAAGAAAAAAACAGTCGAATTGAGAACCTCATCCTTTTTTTTGAAGTCGGTTGAAGATTAAAGTACAACACGCCTCCTTAAATTTATAATCTATCTTCTTTTTTAATCTATAATCTTTATAAATGTTCATGTTTTTTTTTTTTTTTTATATAATATTAAAGATTATTTCTCCACGGACTCTAGGTCCGTGCCCTTGTCATACAGTTTTTTAATTATAATACATCTAGTCAATATTTATAAAGTAAAGAGGGAACCTAGTTACATACTACAATTAACCACATCTATAATTATTAGCAAAAGTATAGGTTACATAATAATTAGGCACTATCTATTTATTTCTATTTCAAAGGCTTTATGAAACCAGCCCACCAACACGATGGGAGAGCCGACCTGACCCAGCAGAAGGCACCCGTTCACGAGTATGACGTGTGTGTCAGCAATTGGTCCGGTCAACCTTTTTATTGGGAACGGAACAACCCAACACACAGCGCCACCGACTGTAGGACATTTATGTGTGCATGACGCCTCAACCCTTGCCACATGGGCCGATTCCAATAAAGCGTACAATAGTCCAAAATTCAATTGGTCATATTCTATTTCTACATGTTTCTGCACACACATTTCCTCATGTTGCATTCGTTCCATCACAAGCAACACTCCCCGCCCAAGAGAGCACCCACGACTGCCGCGTCCCTGTGTTTGATGGCCATTTTCAGGTTGTAGTCCTTAATACCTTGCTCACCCTCATCAGCCGCCTTCCTGATTAGTTTGCTTATCGCGTCTTCACTGTTGTCTGTGTAATAGATGCAACCATGCGTGTGACGCGATATTGCTACTACCGCGTGTGGTACGCTGTCATGTATTTGATGTTTCTTTGTTGCTGTGTTGACAACAATCACATTCGCACACGAAAGTCCCTGTGCCTCGTGTATCGTGAGCACGCGTGATCCCACGGTCGACCCGTATCCCTGGTTCTTAAGGGATTCCTTCTCTGCCTGAGTGTGTACCAGGTATAAAGTGTCGGGGAGTGACTTTGGAATCATCGCCCCCGAGAACCTTTTTATCTCGAGGGATCTCACGAGATTTTTCGTGAGAAATGTTCATGTTTAGAAAGGCGTAGTCACACGTTACATATACCAACCTACCGTAGCACTTTGACAACGTGTGACTGCGGTTTCCCAAACATGAAAATTTATCTCCACATAGTGAATACTGCATACTTCAAAACAGTATTGTATAACATTATTGTCAATTTACAATGGAGGCATCTTGGTAGAGTCTACTGTGTCCATTTACTTGCAACTACGTTAGCAACATTGTTCAGTTCAATATTCTGAAAATCTTGTTTTATACTTTTTCAGCGTCGTGTTATGTCGTAGTTGGGTTTTTAGTTTTTTTTTACTTTTTATTATTTATTATTCCTGAAAATTCCACTATTGATAACCAACCACATCAACAATGTTAGTAAATATTCTCTTATAATAAATTAGTGCTGGGACTGTCAAACACCAAGCGGTCACCGGTGACCGCAACCTATTGTTCTATAATTGTGTCTACAAAACCGGTACTCGACGAGTTAATATCAATTTTACTAACAATTTTGTGACTACGTTTGTATGGATGATCTTTTTTACTAACAAAGCGTCTTTATGGAGTGGCTTCTGTGTCTAGACACCTTTGTCAAGAGTGACACAGGATGCAGGTCACTTTTTTCCTACCATTTTTAAACATTCGGGTATTGCACGGAGTCTAACCGTGACGTATTGAAAATAACCTTTTATATGATAATTTCATAAGACTCTTAGGATTATTTACTTACCCACAAACGAATAAGTGGTTTGAGTTCTTATAGTTTCAGGAACATAAAGCCAGCTCTACATACAACTACACTCGCTACAATTGCCAACAACATATTGCCTAAAAAATTACAAGAAGCAGGAGTAGGAACGGTGTGGTTTATAGAAAGTAATAAGAGTCAGTGACACTCCTTCTCGCGTCACCCTGGGCGGGAAACCTCATTGGATGATTTTCGTAACACACAATATGTCGCGCGTCATTATGTATGTGCCGACTGGCAACATAGCACGGTGCTGTGCAACAGTGCTGTACATGTTGAGTAGCTCTCGAGAGTCACAAACAAGACAAACGACCAATACACAAATAAATATAATTTTAGGTACTAGGCACAAAGATAAAAACAAATTCTTAATGGTGTATTTCTTTATTACGTAAAAATATTCTTACCTCTAGACTACATATCACTTTTAAATTATATAAGTTCCAGATTGTAGGAAACTGGTAAAATTTATTTATTTTGAAGTTACTCCAGTGCCCAGGATAGTAAAGTATAATTACACTAAATTTCGTCGTAATCGGACTAGTAGTTTTTGCGTGATGCGCGAACATTCAGACAGACAGACAAAATGTTTTTACCAGATTTCTGGCTTCGGTATGCATCTAGTAAGTTTTTTCTTTATAGTTCAATATAAAATGAAACCCAAGTGAAGTCGGTAAATATTCACAAATTTATTTATTTCTCAAAATGTATAGAATGAAAGTTTACAATTTTTGGTTGTTCTGTACAAAAAATATCAGTCTAGTAGCATGAGCATATTGTAATGTAATGTAATGTTCAATGACATGTCAAATAAACGCGCCTGCGTTTCATGCGGGGTGCGGGTACCTGTACTTGACAAGTATCAATGTGACTTCTTCCGAGCTACAAGTTCTTTCTAAGATTACCTAAACACTACTGTCTTACGGTGAACGAAAACCTCGTGAGAAAACCTGCATATATAACTTCTAATTATAAGTTTGCAATCGCCAATTCACTTCGAGCATCTGTGGTGATTAATGCTCATTCCTTCTACGTGTGAGAAGAAGCCTTTACAGAACAGTGTGCACTTATAGACTGATTTGATTAATATTAATGATGAGTGTATTATTTTTTAAGATTATACTTTGTCAGCTACAGTAGCATTGCGGGCAGACATATTAGAACTGGAGAGTGGAGGAACAATTGTCAGCGGGACACGGATGCACCAGATTAGCGAACCCGTCAAGGAACTACCCTCACGAACCCTGAACTCGACTGGTAGACTGGTTCCCTGTAATTAGAAAATTCTTGTCAACGGTTACATTATTAATAGATAAACAGTTTTTAACGAACACACCAAAACATGTACACAACAACTAGTCTATGTAATTTTATTTTCGATAGTCCAGGATTCCCTGCTCACCCTCACCCACTGCCCGTCTGATTATTTTGCTGATTACGTCATCACTGGTGTCCGTGAAGTAAACTCAGCTGTCTGTATAACGCGATATAGCAGATACACGATAGTATACCACGGCGTGCGGTACACTATCGTGTATCTGCTGTTTCCTCTCCGCAGTGTTCACAATCACCACTGTCGCGTACGAAAGCCCATGGGCATCGTGTATTGTGAATACCTACCCATGACTCCTTCCCGATCTGTATCCCTGGTTTTTGAGCGATTCCTTTCCTACTTGAGTGTGTACCAGGTATAACGTGTCCAGAGGAGTTTTCGGGATCCTCGCCCTTGAGAAGCTTTTTGACTCATGGGATCTCACTCTTCATCTGGACGAATATATGATATTACACAATACCGAGAACATTTGCCACATTTATTGGGTTTCTGTGAGTGCAAAGAAGTTCAAGGGTCACAGCCACGATGTGTGTAGGGCGAGTGTAAATGAGGGGGAAGAGGTTGTCGCGGTCAATGAAGGGAAGTTGATTCATGCCACTAATAAGTAGAATTTCTTTGGCCTGTGTTATTCGGGCAGCCATCACAATGGCTCCAAAGTAATTCATAAAGTAAGACAGCCTTACCTACCATGATTCGGTGGCAGCTCCTTTGTTTTTTTAATCCATTCACTAAAATGGATTGTTCGGACCTTGAATTTGACTAACCCCCCGATTCGGCATGACAGTTTGCCTATGAGGTCATGCCGCTTCTGTTGTTGTGGTAACAACTAAATCCCTTTCCGCTTGGAACTGGTTCATTATCCAAGTAGTATTGCCGCATCCTGGTATACCATTCGTCCAATGAAACATTGGAATATGCCAGTCCCCAAAGACTTCGCCGTCTGGCCCAGTTCCTGAGATGTTTTTTGCCATTTCTAAGACCCTATCATCCAGCATAATCCTGGTACACCTGGCAACAGCCACAAAGGAATATTCAGGGGGTGTTTTATATTTCAAAACTCCATGTTTATCCGACTCTTTCTTATCCAGAGACATAAATCCTGCGGTGGCGATCAACTGTTATCGTATATGACTGCTTCCGCAGCCTCGAGTCTATCATTTAGTATCAGCTCGTTACCTTGCAGGTAAGGCAGGTTAGGTCGCAAGTTGACTTTCTTTGTAGCTTCTATTACTGCGACAAACTCGAGGAAAGCGTTTATGAGACGGTCTCTGGTTGTGGCGGCATGGCGGAGTACCACCGGACAGATGTAACCCATGGCGGCTCTTGTTGGCGATGACTTGGGTTCATTAGGACGTATTTGAGCCACATGCCTCCCCACCCTCTTGTGTGTGGATCCGGTCATACTACTTCTGAAGGGTGAAGAAATGAGACCCACATACTACTTCGTGACTCAGCGATCCTTCCATGTCCAGTCAACGCCTGAACTTGGGCAGTTGTCAACATTGTCGATGTTACTAATCGATATGCCTCAATGACACCCGGGAAAAATGCTTAAGTTACCTGCCCAGTAGTGGAGGTTGTATGTATCTGTCCTGCCACTTTCGGATGGTTTCATCTTTGATTTTCTTTTTGAGTTAGGACCTGGATACTCTACTGTAGTCTGCCATGGTGTTATCTTTTGTTTTGGCAACGGCTTTATTTCGGCAAATCATCTACTCTCTCATTTTTGGCCGTTCCAACATGGACCATCAACCAGTAAAATCGAACCTCTCTCCCTTGCTCCCCGATGATTACAATACACTTCTCTGGGATTTTTAAGACTTCAGGGGAGGATCTGGAGTCTTCCGCCATTTTAATGGCTCTATTCAGTGCATATAATTCAGATTGAAAAACTGTACATGAAGAGTCAAGAAGAGAGAGAAGAGAAGAGAGTAGTGTCAAGAACACCCAGAAGGTGTTTATTTTGAACTAGCACGTGTTTCACTAGTTCTGTATCTGAATGGTATAAAAGCACATGCTGCTATTCGCAGCAGTAGAGTGGTTCTTTGCCATTGTCACCTTTTCCATTTTTGCTGCTGTCTTCTTACAATCTAGAGCCTCCCCTATTTTTTCAATAACATTGAATTGAAGGATCACAAGGTTACTGTAATTTATGGTGGATTTCATTTTAGTAAGTGAATCTTTCGTCTGACACTCTCACTCCATCACCCAAGGCGAGAGAATTCATTAGATGATATTCCCCCTTCAAAAAAGAGTGTGACAATTGTGGCAAAACCATCTGAAATTAAAGCTCAAACCTTCTCATTTTAAGTTTTAACTTACCGCGGGGAATGAGCTCTCGATGAACATATGTAGGGTGTACTGCACTACCTCACCCTCGACAAGAGGACAGAAGCTGTTAGTGAGGTAATTGCATGTGTGTGTGGCGTCTCCGAGTGGGTAAGGGATTGCGGTAAACAGCAATGCTGTCACAAGAGTAGTCATGGTTTCAATGGGGCGAGCTAAAAAAAAATAGGCATTTTATACATATATAGGTACCTCCTTCAGCCACTAGTAAAATAGGTGTAAAGATATATTTGACTTCAAAATATCGCAAAAGTGTTTGTGTACTTTGTAACGATTGCAATGCGTGACATTTTAATAGTTAAAACTGGATAATAAAATAAAACATGTTGGTTTAACGCATCCACAAAACAAGAGGAAATCCTAGTTATTCTTAAAAAAAAATTCAGCGTGCTCTCCATTGTGAATATCAAAAGAATAGCTTGTTTGCAAGAATAAAGCTCATTAAAAAATCGCTTAACACATCATATATGTATGAAATACTTTTTTAATTTTCTTGCTACCTAAAGTAGATATAAAGATATAAAGTAAAAAAATGTGTTACAAGAGCACGGACCAAGAATCCGTGGAGAATTAATAATATATTTGGAGTCACTATTAATACCGTTTGTTGCACTGGAGTACTTTATTTCACGAAACTATGTTAAAATGATGGCCTGTGAGAATGACTATGAATGCGCCCGGTTCGCTGATCGAGTATAAACTGCGTTAGCGACGCACTCAACGCAGCTGTGTTATATTGCTAAGTGCGCAACCGTGGTCGAATGCCATCAAGTGTAGGAGAGCCAAGCTTCGGCCCCAATGGGTCTTTTCGACCGGAGTGATACCACAGCCTTACAGAAAAACGACGTGAAGCAACGCTTGCGTTGTGTTTCGTCGTGTGAGTGAGGTTACAAGAGCCCAATGACCCCTCCTTCCTCAATCTCCCCAATCCCTGAATCCCAACGATCCTCAAACTCCTAACCCCCAAAAGGCCGGTAACGCACTTGTAACGCCTTCGGTGTTACCAGTGTCCATGGGCGACACCGATTGCTTACCATCAGGTGGTCCGTCTGCTCGTTTACGCGTAAGCCGGTAAACGAGCATAAAAACAATAGGTATGCAAAATATTACATCGAACTTTGACAGCCTAGGCCCAGTTGGCCTTACGGATAATACGGCACATCCGTATTATCCGTAAGACTTGGGGATAAATGTTGCACATCGACTTTTAGAAAGAGACGTCGAGAGCATGTACTTGTACGAAGTTTTCTTTTTCTTTTCAGACCACTCAACTAGTTTTGGTGGCTCATAATAATGACCAGTATACGTAGCGACATTATCTTGTCATTACGTCTTTATATAGGTGATGTGGAATGTGCAGTATTCACGAGTATATCAACAGTCTAGGGTACAAGTATAGTATAGTATAATTAGATGAAGTACTAACGTGCTCGGAATAAGACGTTAATCACCGCATAAGTGCCCTGCGGAAAGATACATGGCGGCTCCACACAGCCCTCAATGTGCGCGTTGATCGGCAATGGTGCATTGAACATAGTACCTGTAAAAGTAAAACATTTGCAATGAAGTAAGAAAGAACGGTAGAAAGAAAACAAGGAAGAAAAAATAAATTAAGATGTTTGGTTATATATAATGTAACGGCTAGGGTAGGGGGCGCCCGATGAGAATTTAATCTATTCAATGGTTTTCGTATTATAGACATGATACACCTTGAAATCTTCTCGATGAGGTCTTTATATTGATTTCCATATTGCAATATTAGAAGAAAATATTTTTTTCATGTAAATGTAAATCAGTTGGGTGGTTTAGCAGAAACGAGGTAGAGAAGAATCTTACACTCATATACAACATACGAGTGAAAAACATCCTTCCTACAGCCGGGTAAAAAATAAACAATCGCAATAGTTATCCCCTACAATTTTTGGAAGTTCCCTTCGGTTTCCCTAGGATTCCAACATTCGAACCTGGCCAGGTGGAAACGTAGCCACTTCGAAAGAATAATTAACCCTTCCAAAGAAAAAAATATCATCAAAATCCGTCCACTATCGCCCGAATAATCGCGTAATATACTTAACTACATAATTATGCTTTTTATATGTATCTGTATTCTTGTCGTGTGACGTGGCCTAATAAATGGGATTTATTTCTTTTTTATTTCTTTTGTACAAAAAAACATACAGATGAATTTAGAAACTCTTGTTTTTTGAGGAGTCGGTTAAACACTCATCATCGTCGTCATCAGCTCGTATTCGTCCACTGCTACACATAGGCCTCTCCAATGGCACGCCACTGAGCTCGGTCTTCCGCTCTTCTCATCCTGCACTGCTTGCGGATATCGTTACTCCACCTAGGTGGAGGGTGCCCTACACTACGTTTGCCGAGACGCGATCTCCACTTTAGAACACGTTTACCCAACGGTCATCGGTTCTTCGACAAATGTGACCGGCCCACTGCCACCTCAGCTTACGTATACTTTGGGCTATGTCGATAACTTTGGTTCTCTGTCGGATCACTTCGTTTCGGATTCGATCCTTCCTTTAAAGGATTAAGGAAGATTTGAGGAAGAAGACTTCGAGCATAGCCCGTTCCATAGCTCGCTGCGCGAACTTAAATTGGTAGACCAGTCGCACTGTCAGTGTCCACGTCTCGGCTCCGTTAAAGACTTTTGTCTTCAGGCTTTACGGTATCTGTGACAAGAAGACTTGATTGAGTTTCCTATATGGTACGGCCACGTTCTCGAAGCTGTTCCTACCAAGCTGCAGGGTTTGTCCCAGGTAGATGTATTCCTGAACAACTTTGAGCTACCACTCGTTGAGGACAATTGTCTCCGGAATGATTTTTGTTTTGTCTAAGTTCATCCGGAGCCCGATACGTTGCCAGGCTGCTCAGCAGGTATTGTAAGTCCTGCACGATGACGATATCATCTGTAAATCTCAAGTGTGAGTGATGGTCGATTTCAAATCAATAAGTCGGCGAAAGTATTTGCTTCTGTAAGAAAATTAAAAATACGTGTCTAATGTTTTAAAGTACATTAGACACGTATTGCCAGACGGTCATTGCAATAAAAATTAGCCAACTATCCTATTTAACGTTCTTTAAAAAATACGGTACCTACATAATACACTGCTCTCTGGTTGGTTAATGTTGACAGTTACTCTCTGATTTGTCAATGATAATACAATTTATGTCTCGTTTACAAACCTTCATAATTTCCTAGAAAATAAATGTATAAACTTCTTGTTGTTTTCGAATGACATCTACACTCTATTTACACCATAGATTTATAAATTTCATATCATATCAGTGATTTACACTCAAATTATTAACAGGAAAGATTTGTAGGTATGTAATATATGTATGTTTGTAATAAATTACATCATAAAGTGCTGGAACGATTTAAAAAAAATTTTCACCGTGCTACATTATCACGGATTACGGCGACCTCTCGCGTTCTGCCCTAGTCCGGGCCATGATGAGAAGCGAGGAGGACTGCGATGCCGTCTCCTCTATTTTGGAAGTAGTCATGCTAGCTAAGGAGCAGGCGGGGAGCGTTTTGCTGCTCTTCACAACCCAGCCGTCGCGAAAGAGACTCCGGGCGTCGAGGATCACGGGACGATCACCGGCCACCGTAAGCACGGACGGGCCTCGGTAGCTCACCGCCCGACTAGAACTATACCCGATATATAGAATCTCTATAGAACCCGAGCGCATGGTGCGTCGCGTTCTGCGCGCGCCTCAATGAGTCATCAAACCACCACGGATGGAGCCCAATAGGGCTCATACGGAGTCACGGAGAACTTAACAGGATACCGGGGCTCCGACTCGAAGTAAAAGTATAGGTACTGTTTATGATGCCATATTCATTTAATAAGTCTGAAGAGTTGGTTTGAACGCGCTAATCTCAGAAGCTAACAATTCGATTTGACATTTTGTTTGTATTGTATAGTTCATTTAATCACCGCGTGATGTTCTATAGCCTATACAGCCTTCCTCGAAATATAGAATATTCAATACACAGAAAGAATTAGTTCATTCGGACCAGTAGTTCCGGAGATCTCTTCAGCTTTATATATTAATACATTTAGAACTGATTATTATTATCATATTTGGCACAGACTTACATGACTGTACATTGGTGGTCTGTCCGTGTGCCAGTGCCAGGAGAGCGCAGACGTAAGCCACAACACGCAACATGTTCACTTGTTCCAACGTGCACAGACTAAATGATACTATTCCCACATTCATGCATTCATTTATTTATATTCTGTTTATTATCAATTGATAACACGCGTGAGGACAAAAACTTACAGATCATTGATAAAATAACGATTACAATATGCAGCTGTGTGTGTTATGTACGTAAGTCTATACTTGAGTTATACTTAAGTAGCTAAAGGTGTGCTACGACGAATGTTTGAGGAACTAACAATATTAATAATGTTCAAGACTTATGTTGAAAATGTTGTCGGCTAATGATAACAATATTGTGGGTTAACATTAACAATATTGTCGGCGAATATTAACAATGTTTCTTCAATGTTTTTTCAGATGTAGCTTTTTTAGATTGTATTCTTCTGTGACAAAATCATGTTTCTTTCTAGGTATATCTTTCTGCATGTTAACGGAGCTCTAAGCGATCTTTATTGTGTAAGTACTTCTGCTTTGTTGGTCGCCTTAGAATTAACAGGTCTTAGAGCAGGATTGATTTTAAAGACTTTAGAGTTTTGAAATCAAGCACAACATCGACTTTCGAAGATTATAGATGTCAATATGAATGACTAATACAGCGTCTGAGTGATAAACAATCTAAAATTCTAGATTATAATGTTGTAATGATAACTTAAAATATTTTTTATGGATTGTTTTTAATAATATACATAATACATACATAATTATGAATAAATACAACTTACAATTAACTTAAACTAATATTGATATTATAGATACAAATAACTAAAATATATATACCTTAAAAAAATATTAAAAATATTACCTGAAGGCACCAAAAAAAAATTTTGTCATCGCTATCGTGAGGAAATTAATGGCAATGCTTAACCTTTACCCAAGGTAGTACCCAGCCTTTCGATCATCTGAAGTGTCAACCATCCTCACAGCCTCACAGCCCTGAAGTTTCAACCCCAAACGGTTCCAAAGCTTAATTGCAAATCAGGCTATTACCTATATCTACTTTCGCCGTTTGAGGTTCTCGGCAGCAGCAGCGGCAGCACCAGCACGACACGCTGAGCTTGGAAGACGGGATGGGATGGCGCCATAGTATCAACTCAAGTAGCTTCCCATACCAAAGGCCTACCCATCTTCCAAGGGAATAATGACATACCGTCGGGCCTCTTGCCATCGTCGCGTACCAAGCCATTAGTTTCCGAAGAAGTTTTTTTTTAAGGGGGGAAAATCATCGAATGACTGCTCCCGCCTGGATAAGGCGGGAGGGAGTGTCAGACTCACTGACTAAAAACCACCCCGTTCCTTCTCCTGCACGTCGAGTCGGAGCCCCGGTTACCCGTTAGGTTATCCGCGACTCCGAATCGGCATCGGCCCTATTGGGCCCCATCTGTGGTGTTCTGATGGCTCGCTGAGACGCGCGCAGAATGCGACGCGCCGTACGCTCGGGTTTCCAAAGAAGCTAGCACGCCAACGGAGGCAAGAGCTTAATGAATTATATCATTAATACTTGCGTATCGAGCAAAACGGCCCGCACTACGGTGAAACAAGTGAATTTATTTCTGGCTAGGCAAGGCAGGCTACAAGGCAGCACTTTTACACGTCAATTTTATCAAGCAAACGATGAGGTCGACGTAACACGACATGCCGTGGTGTCCAAGGCTGATGACATCTTCAGCACATTAAACTGTCAAACACCAAGCGGTTACCGGTGACCGCAACCTATTGTTCTATAATTGTGTCTACAAAACCGGTACTCGACGAGTTAACAACGATGAGGTGAGCAAAATCAAGCACCAATTCTTAAACAAATTGAAGCGTGGAATGTGTTGTCGTCCAACAAAGTACCTAGGTTGGACGAAGCCAAAGCAGGAAGCCATAACTCCGACTCCCACTCACCCACAGCCAAAAGGCGACCTCGCTCTGCAGTTGAGCAAGAGGAGTTCAAGAGATTTTCGCTCACTTTTCTGCAGAGCGGCTCGTCCCATTGCAAACCCGAGCAGCACCATTCTTTGGTATATCTGAACCTTCTACACTGCAATCTCAAACCCCTCCCTCCGTTAGTTAATTATGAAAAACTCTTTTGACGAGGATTTGCCTCATAATCCACCAACGTACTGCCACTGCCAGTTGTATATTGACTCTGTGGCGTAGCGTACCTTGGCGGAGGCCCCGAATAAAAATTTGTTTCGGGGCCCTTAAAAGGTTAAGATTTCCCACAAGAGAATACTTTTTTGCATAAAATTCTAATAATTCCCGTGAAACCCGAAAAACTGACCAGAAAATTCTTTCTTTCTGATTACTTTAGTTTGTCTAAAGTTTGTGCCGTTCGTTTGACTTTTGTGATTAAAGAAATCAATACATAGTATAAAACAAAGTCGCTTTCGCTGTATGTCCGTATGTATGCTTAGATCTTTAAAACTACGCAACGGATTTTGATGCGGTTTTTTTTAATAGATAGAGTGATTCTTAAGGAAGGTTTGTATGTATAATACATGCATATTGCACCCGTGCGAAGCCGGGGCGGGTCGCTAGTAAAATATAAATGAGAAGTGTTTATAGTTTTTTTGCTTACTGGGCCTCGTAGTCCGGGGGCCCCGTATAATTAATACGGCAGATACGGTACGGTACAACTACACCTCTGAAATTGAGTAGACAATGCAACCTGAGTAATTATATAGTCCACTGACAAGTCCTTCACAAACTACCAATACTTTTACGAAATAGGAACGTTTTACCCAATACAAAATTTTGCTCATTGAGTCTAACTGACACATTGCATTTAAAAATTTAACTTGTAGGTCCACTGAAGAATATTTATATTGCCGTGTCCTAGCAGGGTTTATATATTATGAAACGTATATCTACGTTTACCTGTAACTAGATGCATATAATAAATGATTATAATTATGTGTTACGTCATAGAGAACCGAAACAGACTCGTGTCTGAAATCGAGACCTCTTCAGGGAGAATCTTTGATTGGGGTGGACTTAATTCGGTCACCACACTAAAACACAGGTCTGCGTGTTTACCGCTAAAAATCTGCCGTTGGTCGTATCTCCTCAGTTTCAAAGCACCCCCCTAACTGCCCCAGGCGGTATTGGAATACTTGATGTCAGTTTCGCGGTCATCTAGAGGATAAGGCCAAATTAGCCTCGAGGAAGCTTGGTGTGCATAGATCGAGGCAGTATTTCGCCCCGGCCCACGGCCTGCTTCTATATAAGGCACAGGTTCCCACATGGATACTGTTCTCATCTCGAGGGCATCCCAGTACCAGCTTCGTCCTCTGGACCGCGTCAGCGGCATGCCGTACGGATTGTTGGATGTCGGGATGTTTCAAACCGGCTAGCCACTTCAGCAATGCGTAGAGATGTAGCTTCGTTGTACATTTTCTATTGCCATACCACGGGGAGTGCTCCGAGGAATTGTTTGACCTGATAACTGCCGCATCTTTTCGCTATCGACTCTCACGACAGCATATGCATCCCCACCATCACGCCACAACTGTGCTCTTCTCACGTAGCTTTATGCCTCGCACAACAAAACTGTGGAATGATTTGTCATCAGCGATATTTCCAAACTGTTACGATCTGCAAACCTACAAGAAAATAGCGTATTCCTTTTTAAAAGGCTGGCAACGCACCTGTGACTCCTCTGGTGTTGCGGGTGTTCATGGGCGGCGCAGATCGCTTACCATCAGGTGATCCGTCTGCTTGTTTGCCTCCTAAATGTAAAAAAAATGTGGCCCCTAAACATGAGGACTTCCAAACTAGAAAATACGAAGTCATAGTCACGTCGAAGGAATAAGCCAGCTACAACCTCCTAATACCACTGCAAGTCCTGTAAGTCAGGATATACTCTAGATAAAACCGGTACACTGAAGCTGTTCAGCAACATTGATTGGCTGGTGTCAATACTGGAGACCGACGTTGCTACAACATGGTGTAGTAGTAACTGTGTCATCACTTTTTACAGGTACTTTCTACAATGGACCTCTGCCGATAAACACGTACATAGAAGGATATATTACTCCGCCATGTGTCTTTCCACAAGGACAAGATGCAGTCATCAACATCAAGTTCCGAGCACGTCAGGACTTTATTTATTTATTTACATTATATTAGGGTCTACCACTATGCCTGGTGTATAGCAATATGCTTGCAGGGCTACCTCGTGCTGATATATAACACGATTTACATAAAAACATATTTGTTCCAGCTCACGCTGTGCAGAGGGTGACCACTTTAACAACAGAATTTGTCGTCATTCCAATCCCTTACCCTCTCGATCAGTGTGCACAGACATGCAATTACCTCGCTAATAGTATCTGCCCTCTGGAAGAAGGCGAGATGGTGCAGTACTCCCTCAATATGTTCCTGCGGTGAGTTATTTTTACTGATATTATAATTTATGAGGGAAATATCGATATTGAAAAACGTCTCAGGCAAATTACTATCGAATTTTATAATTATGAACGGACAATTTTAATCAGGAATAAATCGAGTACCACTTTTTTGACACGCCCTTCAGCGGATTGTGAAGGACAAATGATAGTCTGTCGTTGTTGACATTCAGCTGGGTCAGATTGGGACACTAAAACCTAATTGGGAAAGATTTCAATAAGTTACTTCCATTAATAATATCTTTTTAATTGCAGGGATTTAGCCTGCCATTCGAGTTTAGGATCGTGGATGATAACAACAATACCCTGGTGTGTCTCCGTGTACCAATCACAACCGCGGCTCCTTTGTCGTCCGACATGCTTCCTGGGCCGGTTTCTGGAGTCTAGAGCTGATATACCAATGTATTGTTTTTATATTATGTAATGTATGTATCTTAATAGAAGTCGAAGATAATTTATACAGTGGTTTTTGTAAAATCAAATATACAGCATTCAATAAGTATTTTAACTTTTGAATGAAACTTCAAAATTAATGTCGGTTAAATTGACAGTAAACTTTTACTGGACATTTAATAAAAGAAAGAGAACGAGCGAAAGGAACCCTAGATTTATAATATTGTATGTATAATATAGTTCTACTGGTGACA